GAGCGGGGCCGGGGCTGAGCCGGGTCGGGGCCGCTGGCGGTGAGGGCCGAGGCCGGGCGGGGCCGGGCCGCTGCCCGTGCCCCCCGCGCCGCTCATGCGTGTCTTTACAGGGCGCGGCGGCCCCCGCGCCTGCCCGAGCCCTGGAAGGGACTCGCACAACGGCGGGACCCGGAGAGTGTGGCGGGCGCGGATCCGGAGAGCGGGGTGCCCATTCCCTTCTCCAGCAGCAAGGCCAGTCCGCGGGTGTGGAGCGTCAGCCGGTCCATGGGGAGCGACCACGAGAAACCGTGGCTGAAGGTGTTGCCTTTCAGTGTGCTGTGCACGGGTCTGTTGCTCTGGTGTGTGTTCAGGGAAAAAACGGAGATTGATGAGCGATTGGAAGCGGTTTTCTCCGGCGAGATCGTGGACTCTTTAGATATGGCCCAAGAAAGCAATGCTCCCTTGCAGCTGCCGAAGGAGCAATGAGGACGGGAGTGCGGCTACAGTGAAGGAGCTGCCAACAGTTTGCTGGCATTCACCTGGTTAAAAACTGTACCTACTCATTAATGGAAAAAAACCTTGGTTTTTTGAGTCTTTCGGCAGCCTTATCTTGCAAGCTTGATTTCTTCATGATGTTTTCTGTGCTGGTCTTACCTTAGTAATTTACTTTGGTAGCAAAAGGTGTAGTTTCTTTCTGGATTGCATGGTAGGGATGAATAAGACATATTGCAATTCAACTTGAATTTTAATATAAGTTTTATATAACCCATCACTTTTCCATGGATCATTTTTCTTATATGCTAGGTGTATTAAAAAATATGAAATCTGAATGTCTGTAAAATTGCTGCTGAAGGTGACCTTCGTTTGACATTTTGGTAGTCACAGAGTAAGTTCAATTTAGATTACAGACCAGTTGTAAATGTAGTCATTAATATGTGATTGTGGTCTGATTTTTTTTTTAATTCTGCTAAATAACATAGAAATTACCTTCACAGGTTCATGCTTTTGAGACTAGAACTTTTTAGGCTTGGCTGATTCAGGTGATCATTACTGGTAGGAAAGCATTTTGCAGACAATCAAAATGATTGGCTTGCATTATACTGGGGAGGAAACCCCTGGTTTCCTTGAACCATATAGTACCTAGGCTTTTTCTGCAGATTTTTAGATGCATACTCTGGAGACTTTTCTTGGAGAGGAGAAATGTAAGATACTAATACAACTTAGTTCCCTTCAAAATAAGAGGCTTTTTTTTTTTTAGGCTTTCAAATGTAAAAACAGAAGATTGGTTTTGTGTCATTAAAATCTGTAATTAAAAACCAAAACCCCCCAAAGATGGCAGGAGCTGTTAAGATAGGCTGGAGCTGTGCAGAAAACTGGTGTAGGATCATGTTTGTCCAATACTGCTGATGAGTCTCTGAACAACATGCACTGTCGTGGCATTTGATTCACCATAGAGTCCCTCAGTTTAACCACACGATGCCTAGTAAATGAATACACCTAATTTGGTACTGTCACAGGGTTTAGTCTTGGTATTCAACCTATACTAGTAGAATATTCCAAGTGAGGTGTATGCATGGGGGTGTTCTGGTGAATAGAAGAGTGATCCTGAATTGCTTTTATATTGAAGCTAAGGTGTAATGCCTGTTGCTCTTGACTAGCTTTCTTACTCCAAGTTCTATGAAAACAATGAACCCAGCAATGTGCTGCTTTGTTTAAGGAAATACAGAGCTGCCCCTTCATGCGTGCCTTGTTTTGGGTGATAATAAGTGTTTAATAATAAAATTATTCTCATAGTCTCTTGCTTTCACCGTGTTGGGAAACTTGTCTGTGGCATTTTGTTGTTAAAAGCAGAGTACGGAGCCATCAGCCGAGGCTCCCTGGACCAGCTCTGCATGCTCTTTGTACAACATCCCTTCTTTGGGGCAGCGGAGGGACCCCCGCCGGGGAGTGGGGGCCTGTGCGCTGCTGTGTTGGGGTCGCGGCAGGCGCGGCCCCGAGAGGATGCCGTGGGTTTGCAGAGCAGTGTCTCGAGGGCTAGCGACACAGGAGCGGAGATGAGCGAGGTGAGAATTTTACTCTTGGACTGAATTTGGTGTTAGTTTTAGGACGTTGTCTATGCATATATGTTGTAACTGCTTTTTTTTTTTTTTCTAGGCGATACACAACCCTCTGCCTGTCTGCTGAATGTGACGAAGGTCCATCCAATAAGAGGTCAAGGTAAAGGAGCCTCAGATAGTCACTATGAGGAGGTATGTCAGCATGGGCCTCCACATCTGTGGTTTTTTTGCAGTGGCCGTCTGTCTGCTTAGCGGGGTGTAGCAACACTTCAGCGAGCAGTCTGACAGGGTTTATAGGTCTTCAGCTTGCCTTGAGAGGAATCCCTAAGTATTTGAGAGCTCAGCGATTGAGCATTTACCTATTCTATTTGCAGGGGCGGTCTCGGTAGCAGCTGGAAAGAGAGGAGCCTTCCAGGCAAGTCGGGGAGACAGAGAGGCGGAGCACGGGTCCACTGAATTTTCAGAGAGGCCACGTCACTTTCTCTCTGTGTGTTTCAGGTATGCCACACTACAGTAGCCATGGCTGGAGCCGGTAGCGTGAGAACCTCATTGCAGTTAGGACAGGGTGAGTAGGGGGATTGTTGTGTTCTGGCAGATGCAGTGCTAAACACGGGGAATGATTTTTGGTTTCCTTTCTTTTAGCTAAGAAAATAACCGGGGGACTTCCGGAGCCTTTCAGATCACCGAGGTGGCTCTCCTTTGCGTCACAGATGGATTCACATCCCCAGCCATGCAAAAGATAAGTCAGGGGCTACAACATGGAGAGGGGACAAGAGCAGGGTATCAGCTTGTGGAATTTTGGGAGATATTTTGAAATTAGCATAGGTAAAACGGCCCTTTAGGATAAATCAATGCAGAAGCTTACTTTTGACCACAACAGCAGTGTGTTCAGGGCACAGCAGTTCCAGTCTAGGTCATCTAGATCGTCTAGTCTGCATTCCACGTCTTCCGGGTCCTTCGGATCGGATGTCTTCGTATTCCTCTCTCCAGAGGCTTATCGGAATAATCAGTTGTCATCATAATTCGGGTCTTGCTGTCAGCATTCTGCAGCCTGGTGCCAATATCATCCATTTGTCGACTTTGTTGGCTTGGGTGCACATCAGAATCGCATCTCTGAAGCATCAGCTCAGATCTCTTTAACCGCCTTCTTCCAGGCTGTATTTGCAGCTGTTGTCTGCAGCCATCCATTGTTAGGGACTGGGACTTTAAGAATATAAGGATATTGAGAACATCCTGAATGGAGCATTATCTCATGTCCATCTTTTACAATTTTGACAGGCTATTCCTGTAAGGACTCATTCCATTAGCATCTTTTCTCAGGCTCCTTTGAGTCTCGTTAGCTCACCATTGCAGTCTTTTAGGTCATCTTACACGACCACCGCATCCCTGTTATCGCAGTCGTCCTTCTCAATGAGAGTTTTCTCTCACAACAGTGTCGCATTGTTTGTCATCTTGTGTGTAATGGGTGTCTGTGTGTTTGTCCTGGAGCTGCTCTGCCCTGATACACAGACTGGAAGTTAGGTGGAATAGCGCTAAGGGTTTAGCATTAACATGTTAATACATTGAGCCGGTCTAGGTGATGGTTGAGTAGTCATTCCAGACCGAGCAGTCCGTGCTGTCATCACCAGTCGGGATGTGTCACGTACGGAGGCCTCGCAGTTCATTCGCTGTCGACTTGTAGCAGTGTAGGCTGCAGTTGGAGTTAAGGTCCTGTTCCTCACTTGACACAAGATGTCCAGAGCTGTTCAGTTTTCCTGGAACATTTCAGTGACTTTTGTAATAATGGTATTTCAGATGCAGGCGTAAACGATCCCTGAGAAAGTTCAACACATCAGGTGAGCTGGCCTGAAGGCCAGCCCTGGGGCCTGTGCAGGGCAGGCTGCTGCCCCTCGGCCCCGGAGCACAAGGGTGTGTGGAGGCGTGGAGGGAATGGACTGGCCGGGCTTTGGCAGTCTGGCCCCTCGAAAGACTAAGTGACCTCTTCCAACAGGGAAAGACTAAAGCAAGCGGTGCCAGAAAGACCTGGAGTTTCTGGAGAATAAAATCTGGAAGTGTGCCCCTGGAAATCCCCCTGGGTGGTCACCGGTCTAACTTCCACAGACTGGTTGCCTTGGCCAGGAGCATCCCGGCAGTCCTGCCATAAGTGCATATGCCTGGGGTTTTAATTTCCGTTTAATGCTGGCAAAGCCCCTCTGGGTGAGCCCCAGTGCCTGGCATGAGTGGAGCAGGCTTCCAGGGCACTCATTGCAGGTGTTGTGTTTAAGGGAAGAGCAGGGGAGCCTTTCTCTTGCCCAGAGGAGCTGCAGTGTTCTTCCTCTCTGGAAGAATAAGAAATAAAAAAATTAAAAGCAAACAAGAAAGAAAAGAAAATGAAAAATAAAGAGAATAAAAAAATAAACGAAATAAAGAAGGAAATATAAAATAAAAAAGAAAATTAAAAAAATTAAAAGCAAGAAAACTGAAAAGGAAATAAAATGAAAAGTAAAAGAAAAGAAAAAAAAAAACCCTTGAGCACCCTGTATACATCCCCCTCTGCCCTCCGAACGGTAAATTAGAGGTCACTCCTAAAATGTGAGAAGGGGACCCCAAAACGTGGGTGGGGGAACCCCAGGGACCCGAAAAAGTGGAGGGGGAGCCCCGAAATGTCAGGGAGGGGCCTCAGAATGGGTGGGGCCCCGGAAAAGTGGGTAAGGTGTGTGCAGTAAGAGGAAAGCCAGCAGGTCAGACGGTGGGCGCGTGCGCACTCACCAGCAAGAGGCCCGCGATCACGGGGAAATTAAGGGCGGCCAGGAGAGGGGAATGACGCATGCGCAGTGGCTCTTGTGCCGCTGCAGCGCTCCCCGCTCAACTAAAGGCCCGACTCCGGCGGCACGGCGGGACTTGTGGCCTCCCGTTTCTTCCGGGGTGTGTGTGGGCGGAATAACATGAAGATTTTTGAGGTGAAAGCGCAGAAATTAGTGAGGGGCGTTCTCCGGGTAAACTCGGTCACCGGAAATGAGAGCGACCGGACTGTTTTCTACGGCGCACCACCAAAGATGGCGCCCTCCTGGATCGGAAGTCCTGCGAGACCGCCCCGAAAAAGAGATGGCGGCGCCCTGACCGGAAGTCCTCCAACGCCGTACACAAAGATGGCAACCCCGGCCCAAAAGGCCGCCAAGCCCACAGTAAAGATGGCGCCGCCAAGACCGGAACTTAGCCGAGACCACACTAAAGATGGCGGCGAGAGGACCCCTTGCCTCAGAGAGGGGACTATCCTGTTGCCTGACCTTCGCCGCGACCCGGACCCCCGCCCCGCGCCCGCAGCACCGTCTCGCCGCACCGCTTCCCGCTGTGGGGACAGGGCGGGGCGCTCGGCGGAGCCGGGCGCGGGCGGCAGGTTCGTGGGCGGCGGCAGGCACCGACGCGGGCAGCCCTCTCTCGGGGCCGCGGCGCGCGGCGGACGCCCGAGGACCCCAGGCGCGCACGCCGCGCCGCCCGTTCGCCGCGTTCCGCTCCGCCTCGCCCCGCTCCCGCTCCGCTCCCGCTCCCGCCTCACTCGGTCCCGCCGTGCCCTGGAGATGCTGTCGGGGCTGCGCCGCCGCTTTTTCTCGCCGGAAGCGACCCACGGCAGCAGATCCGACGGAGATCGTCCCCGGGGTAAGCGGCGGGGGCGCGGCGGGGGTGCGGCCGCTCTTCTGCCTCTCCCGCGGCCGTCGGGCTGCAGGGAGGGGAAGCGACAGGCAAGTTTCTCGCCTCTGCGGAGAAACTTGCACCTGCGTGCCGCCGCATGGCCGGGTTCGGATGTGCCCTGGCATTGCACACACACACACACACCCCGCGGGGAGGGTCTGCGCTGCCTCGGGGACCCTGTCTGTGCTGCCGGGAGAGAGAAATCCTTTGGGAAGCTGGGGTGGAAACAGCAACTCTGTGAATTGCTCAGCTTTCCCTAGGGAAGGGCAGGTTTTAGGGAAGAAAGGCCCGTACTCGCGAAAGGCGCCGCGCGTCTCGCCGAGGGGGGGGGGCGCGCGGCTGCAGTGGCGCGCGCGGCTGCAGTGCCGCTCCCGGCCGTGTCCGCCAGGCGGCGACTGTGAGGCAGGGCCCGGCGCTCGGGGGCGGGCTGGGAAGCGACGCCCGTGGGAAAGCGGCGGTGTTTTGGCCCTGCCGAGCTTCTCCGACCTTAAATCCGGAGTCGGAGGCGTCCTAAGGATGCCTTGGGCTTGAGGGAGTGTGCCCCTGCTGAGTTCAGCAGGCGTTCGGTGAATTTGGGCTTCTGCGGGGGAATTCAGTCCGGTTTCGTGGTTTTTTGTTTGTTTCCATCCCCGGGACAGTGACCCAAAGGTACTTTTTCCCCTCGCTGTGGGCGCTCTGAGGAGACCAAAGGTCCAGAATTCTGCCGGTGACTTGGCTCGCGTTGCCAGTCCGATTCCCAGAATCGAATAGGGACGGAGATTCCTCCCGGACAAAAGGGGCCACCGCAGAAAGCTCTGGCTGCCCCCGGCAGTGCCCGGGCTGGCCCAGCACCTGGCAAAACCTCTTAGTGAAAAGGCAAGGAACAACTGCGGTTGTTCTACCATTTCTTTAGCTAGGGACTGGAACACAGGCAAAATCAAGGTACTCTTTGACCTGTGCAGGGTCCGAGCATTTTTCAGCCTTCCTTAGCAGGGCATTCTCACCCTCTGAAAAGCTGGAAGACTTTAACATCTGGATCCGCGCCTGCAGCTGTGCAAAGTAATGTAGTTTCTTTTAGGAAACGAAGGTGAAGTTTTCCTGTTGTGAGCCTAAATACCAAGTCTACTCTGCTTTTTCAATCAGGTGACGAAGCTTATGGAAAAAAAGACCAAAGGCCTCGAGGTGAGTCCATTCTACCGAGTTCTGCTTTTCTGGGATCGGTTTGGGAAAATCACGTGACATTCTAAAAAGCTTCTCTCCGTGTTTTCTAGTTGTTTTTTTGGCCTTGGTCTAAGTTTCATGTAGAAAAGGGCATAGAATTATTAGAACAGAGAAACACAACTTTCTCGGGAGAGACGGAAGAAAAGCCTGCTGATTCCAGTTCTGCTTTTCTTGTCTTCCCTTCGACTGTCGTTTTCTCTCCCCTGCTGTTCAAATAATTCCTCTGCTGAAGAGTTTGCTGTACCCAGTGTCTGTCAAATTGATGCCTTTAGCTCAAGATAGCACCTGCTCCTTAGTTACAAAAAGTTCCTCCCAGGAAATTTTCAGGCGTGCCCATAAATCTCCTCGCTGTTTGTTTGGGAGAACAGGGTTTTCTCGTCTGTAACAGAATAGTCGTGGCATTTGCTATTGAATGCTGGTGGCAGTCTAGTCAGAAGAGGACCCCGTGCTTCACTAATTTTCCCTTTTTGTTGTTCGGGGTGACTTCTTACCAGGGATGTTATTCTTGACCCCCCGGGGCAAACGGAGGCGTTCGCCTGGTCAGCGTCAGGAGCCATCCTAACTGAGGCCCTGCTGGGTAAGTGCTTTTCGTGTGACTGGACGGTGAAGCTGTCTGTGGGAATGACCTGGCTATTGGTCGGTGCAGTCCTAATTAAAGTGTCTTTTACTCCGTGTTCCCAGGCTCCCTCTTTCCCTTCGGTCGCCGTGGATGTGCCGGACGCCTCTGGCAGGACTAACCCTGTGGCTTTTATGTCCAGCGTGCCTGCAGGTAAGAAAAGCTGGGAGTGCAGTCCCTCTGCTTTGATTGCTGTGCCTCTTTGGTAGTGATTTTGGAGGGGAATCCCAGAGCGATTTGGTTTGAAGGGGACCTTCAAAGGCCACCCCGTCTTCCGTGGGCAGGGACACCTTCCACTGTCCCCGCTTGCTCCAAGTCCCGTCCAGCCCGGCCTGGAACACTTCCAGGGATGGGGCAGCCTCGGCTTCCCTGTGCAGTGTGCTCTAATATCTCTCCACTGGCATCGTGAAAAATGTTGTCAACGTGTTTTGTTGGACGACGGGAAGCAGGACCGGGGTGAAAATGACATTCTCTTAGGTGCTGGGACGAGGAGGACTCGTGCGGGCACCTCCAGAGACAGCGGGAACGGGAGCGTGCTGTGGAGAAGGAAAATTCCAGGTGGTGGGTGCTGAGAAATTTGTCCCTCCCTTGCCCTGTGCTCTGCACTTAGCAATGGGTCAAGTGCAGAAGTTTCCTGGGGACCCTGGAAAATGATGCTGGGTCTGCTAAGAAAAGTGGGGCCAAAAGAGCAGGACCCTGGGTCTGCGAGCGTGGGAGAAACAAGGGAGGGGTCATCCTCTGCCTCCAGGAGGGAGGGCAGCAGGAAAGGCCACGGACTAAAGCACAGAAGTGCCGTTCCCCAGGGAGCCCCTGCCCAGCACTGAGCTTACTCCTGCACTTGCTGTCCCTTTCCCAGGGGAGCCGAAGCGTCGGGGGCGGGTGCCAGGGGGGGATGGAGCTGCCGAGGACAAACCGGGAGGGTGTTTGCGAGGGAAGGTGTGAGAAGGAGCTCTTGACGTGCTTTTTTTACTTCTTCATCCCACAGAATTGCCACGAGAGGAAATACTTCAGAGGGCTTCCCTCTGGATAAGCCCTGAATATGCCGGGAGGTTTCAGCTGGGAGAAAGGAGCTGTGGGAGAAAAGCAGCCTAAAAATAGCCAGTGGGGATCATCAGGTTTTCCAGCCAAGAAAAACAAGGAGGGAGATGAGGGAATGGGGTTCCAATTCCTAATGATTTGGTGGGTGTAGGAATGCTTTCTGTGTGTTTTCCAGTCCCTTTTGATTCCTGGCATGATTTTAAAATGATGGCTTTAGCAATCAACTAAATTGGAGATGTTGTTTTTGAGAGGAAATGAGGCCAAATAAATGCAGAGTTTTGGGTCAGTTTCTGGGATGATTTGGGTCAGTTTTTGGGGTCAGTTTCGGGTCATTTTTGGGGTGATTTGGGTCAGTTCTGGGTCAGCTTTGGGTCATTTTTTGGGGTGATTTGGGTCAGTTTTGGGTCAGCTTTTGGGATGATTTGGGTCAGTTTTTGGGGTCAGTTTTGAGTCAGTTTTTGGGATGATTTGGGTCGGGTTTGGGTCAATTTTTGGGGAGCACTGGGTGTTACTGGGGAGCACTGGGAGAGAAAATGAAAAATAAAGAGCATAAAAATTAAACGAAATAAAAAAGGAAATATAAAATACAAAAGAAAATGAAAAAAAATTAAAAGCAAAAAAACTAAAAAGGAAATAAAATGAAAATGAAATAAAAGAAAAAAAAAAAAAAGAAACCCCTTCTTGGGCACCTCCTTTCCTCTCCTCCCTCCCCCCCCCGAACCGTAAATTGCGGGGTCATCCCTAAAATGTGAGAAGGGGACCCGAAAATGTGGGTGGGGGAACCCCAGGGAGCCGAAAAAGTGGAGAGGGAGCCGCAGTAAGAAAGCGAAGCGGGGTGGCGGGGGAGTGGAAGCCAAGGTGGCGGCGCCGGCACATGCGCAATCGTTGGCAAGACGCTGGCGATCACGTGGTAACTAAGGGCAGCCAGGCGCGGGAACGGGGACGCATGCGCAGTTGCTCTCGTGCCGGTGCCGCGCTCCCCGCTCAAGTTAAGGGCCGGTTCCGGCGGCACGGCGGGACTTGCGGTCTCCCGTCTCTCCCAGGGTGTGTGTGAGGGGGAATAACATGAAGATTTTTAGGGGTGAAAGGGCAGAAATTAGCGAGGGACGCTAATTTGGGTAAACTCGGTCACCAGAAGTAGAGCGACCGGAAGTTCTCCAAGGCCCCCGGCCCGGAAGTTTGCCAAGCCCACAGTAGGGATGGCGTCGATAGGACCAGAACTTAGCCGAGACCACACTAAAGATGGCGGCCCAGACCCGGAAGTCCGCCAAGGCCACACTCAAGATGGCCCCACCAGAACCGGAACTTAGCCGAGCCCACACTAAAGAAGGTTGCCCCGGCCCGGAAGCCTGCCCCGTGGCAACACTCAAGATGGCGCCGCCAGGACCGGAACTCAGCCGAGACCAAACTCAAGATGGCGGCGAGAGGACCCCTTGCCTCAGAGAGGCGTCTATCCTGTTGCCTGACCTCCGCCGCGACTCGGACCCCGCCCCGCGCCCGCAGCGCCATCTCGCCGCGCCGCTTTCCGCTGTGGGGACAGGGCGGGGCGATCGGCGGCGCCGGGCGCGGGCGGCAGGTTCGTGGGCGGCGGCAGGCACCGACGCGGGCAGCCCTCTCTTGGCGCCGCGGCGCGCGGCGGACGCGCGAGGACCCAAGGCGCGTACGCCGCGCCGCCCCCGCGCCCCGTTCCGCCCCGCCCCGCTCCCGCTCCCGCTCGGTCCTGCCGAGATGCTGTCGGGGCTGCGCCGCCGCTTTTTCCCCCCGGAAGCGACCCACGGCGGCAGATCCGACGGAGATCGTCCCCGGGGTAAGCGGCGGGGGCGCGGCGGGAGGGGGGGCGGCCGCTCTTCTGCCTCTCCCGCGGCCATCGGGACTGCAGGGAGGGGAAGCGACAGGCAAGTTTCTCGCCTCTGCGGAGAAACTTGCACCTGCGTGCCGCCGCATGGCCGGGTTCGGATGTGCCCTGGCATTGCACACCCCCCCGCCCCCCCCCGCGGGGAGGGTCTGCGCTGCCTCGGGGACCCTGTCTGTGCTGCTGGGAGAGAGAAATCCTTTGGGAAGCTAGGGTGGAAACAGTAACTCGTTGAATTGCTCAGCTTTTCCCTAGGCAAGGGCAGGTTTTAGGGAAGAAAGGCCCGTACTCGCGAAAGGCGCCGCCCGTCTCGCCAAGGGTGGTGGGGGGGGCGCGCGGCTGCAGTGCCGCTCCCGGCCGTGTCCGCCAGGCGGCGACTGTGAGGCAGGGCCCGGCGCTCGGGGCGGGCTGGGAAGCGGCGCCTGCGCAGAGCGAGGCGCTGCCCGGGCCGGGCCTGAAGCGCTCGGGGCCACCGGGCAGGGCAGTGCTCGGCTGGCGGGTGCCCCGCAGAGAGAAGAGCCCGGCCCTGGGAAGGCAGGAGCCTGGGCTCGAGCTGCTCCGGACCGCTGTGGGGATGGGTTTGAAGTTTTGGGATCGCTTGTTTCTGTCCCTGCCTTCCCACTGGAAACAATAACTTAAGAAGTCCTCGTCTGGACTGGTCCAGAGAAATGGTGGAGTCTCCATCTCCGGAGATGCTTAAAACACTTTTGCTCAGGCAAAGTCGTGAGCAACCTTTTCTGCCTAATGCTGCTTTTTGAGCAGCAGAGATTGGACTAGGTGATCTCCAGAGGTATTGTCCAACCCCCACCATTCTGTCCTTCTGTAAAGGAGCTTTGCACTGCCCTTTTGAACTGTAATCTGTTGATGACCTGTGTTGAGGTCACACTGCAGCTTGTTACACTGCAGCTTGTCACACTGAATGGCAGCCTGAATAATTTAATATTGAACTGTGATTAATCACAAGATGAAAGCTAAGATAGGCTGGTAAGAGGCAGTGTTCTTTGCTACTACACAGGAAGGAGGGAAAGAATCTCAAAAACAAATAAATGAACAAAAAAACCCTTTATATTTGCTTGTGCAAGAAGAAGATTGTTCTTCCACTTGACCAGGTTTTGAGAGGACAAATTAATTGTTTCTCTGACAACACTATACATTGGAGGCTGCTAATAATCCCATAGTCTGTGCTAAAGGTTTTAGCTGATTGTGTTTGTCATCAGCTTTTACTAAAGAAAAAGCAAGCCTTCTTGGCTGTGTGGATATTCCAGGAACTGAATGATTCCATTCATGTAGATAATGATAACAGAGCCAAAACAAAAATATTGTAAGTGTCCTATGTGGAAGAATATACAGAATTTCAAAAGGGATTGTAGTGGTCCCATATACAGAACTAACATACTTCCTGTTCCTTATTTGCTGATCAGGTCATATTTATCTGCCTGTCAGGACTGTTGGAGCGCTGGATGGAAAGCAGGTCATATGAAGAGGATTACGGAGTAAAAGGCAGCTTGTACTTAAGTGCAGGGAAAGTATAAATATTTATATATATTGGCACAGTGCCTAGCCTTAATGCTTAAAATCCTTTGGAGAGCTGTCTGCATATTTACTGTATTAATGATCAAATGCAAGGCTGTGTTGGGAAAGGTCTTCCATTTGGAAGTCAGTAGTTGAGACTGTCTTGCCTATGAAAAAGAGGGAGAATTTTCATTGGAGGATGTAGGATTCTGGCTGGTAATAGTCTTAATTCAAGGTATTTTTAGAGAATTGATTTAACACAAGCAGAACAAATGGCCAGAAGTGTAATGAGAGACAAGTTGAAATTAGAAAGTAGATGTGCATTTTGAATGTATTGTCATAGCAACTGATTAAATTCTCCCTCTCTTCCTGTTCTGGGGACCTTTTAAATGTGCTTTGGCTAAATAAAAAGTATTAGACTATTTCAGAGCCAAAAGGTCAGTTCTTGTTGTCTCTTTTGCACTTTAATTCTAGTACACGGATACTTGCTAACCACTTATAACCCTAGATGCAGAATGAGAACTTAGGTTATTAACAATAAACAAGTCAACAGCAGAAAGACTTGACCTTTCTTTTGAATTGCCCTACAGTGTTAAAAAATACCAAACAAACCTCCTTCCCCAAAGAAACACCCCCCAAAATACCCCAACAACTCACCAAACAGAAAATCACCGACAACCAAAAAGCAGAAGTAACAAACGTGAACAGCAAGTGGAGGAAGAGTTTGAAAGCGGGATGGACAGAAGCAGAAGTGTTACTGCCTACTCTTAGGCCACTGTGCTGATTCAATGGGTGTTGTTAGGTTTAGATTAGTAGTTTGTTGTTGTTGGGTTTTTCGGTGGTGTTGATTTTTTTGTTGTCATTGTGGGGGATTGTTCGTTTGTTCGTTTGTTTTTATTTTGTTTTTTTTTCTGTATTAAAAATGTAGCTCAGTTACTCTCTAGTTCTGGTGTGTTTTCTTTTCCAGGTGGTTGGTGTTCCTGCAGTGTTTGGCACAGGACCAGGTGAGTTTTTTATCCAGCTTTCTAAAGCTGTAGATGAATAGGAGAGTTAAGGGGATGACTTCTGGTCCGCGACCCAGTGACCACTCCCTGAAGGTCCTGACTCATGAGTCTGCTCCTTTGATTTGAGGGAGTGTACAGTTGCCATAGCCAAGGTAGCCTAGGGTGTCCAGTATCAGCATAAAAAACAGCAGTAAAAAGGAACTATTCAGAGATGAATTTTTGTGCTGTTCCGTGAAAAAGTAAAAGCTATCTGTGCCAGCAAGTCTGTGAAGTAATTTTTTTCTTGTATTTCCATACCAAGGTTTAAATTGTTGCTGTTTTAATGAAGTCTGTTCATTGATTTTGCATCCATTGGTTTCTGAATCCAAATCTGGGGAAAAAAGTACTGTTAGTCTTTCTGAAATGTCTCTCAAACATGAAAGCCTAGAGAAAACTTTTTTTTTTAGTAAAAAGAAGCCTCCAGGATGATCCTTATGCGATACAAATCCTGTGTTTTTCAGACTGAATGCACTCCCTTTATTCACCTTTTCAGAGAGTATCGTCCAGAATATGAGCGCCTGAGAAAAACACTGGTAAGTGTTTTTAGCTGTTTTACACCTGAACAGTGTATCTTGGGTCACTTTTATGCACACAGTTGCCTTTATGTTGAGAGGGTCTAACATTTCATTTACTAGTCGTACTCACTGTGGGAAAACTCCTGTCCTGAAGGAGTCCCCCATTTGCCTTTTTTTTCCTAGATGTGGTGGAGCATATCTTTACAAAAATAAAGATTTTGTAAAACAGATGTTGCTCACTGTTTTAGTGCTGATATTTGAGCTAATTGTGTGAAAATGATTGGGAAATAAGATTGTGTCTTCCATTCAGATGGATAGAGAGTTCTTAAAAATAAATTTCCAAAGGGATTTGTTGAGACTATCCCTGTATCTTCCTGCACCAGTGAAGAGTACTAGTTTGACTTAGTAAGAAAGACTGAACTGCAGTGCCAAAATCAGTAGCTGTGCTCACCTTGAGTTCTGGCTGTCCAAAGGACAGTTCTCTGCAGGCACAGCTACACAGAGTTTGGCTTCCCGGCGCTGCTGAAAACGTCCTAGAATCCCACCTGACTGGAGGTTGCTTTCCATGCTTAGTCAGAAGTTCTGTGTAACCTTAGTTG